TGAGGCAAAGGAACTCTAACTAAAAGCTGAAAGAGGTGAGTTAATATAATTGTTAAAATTAATAATGCATTTTGTGGGCTAGTCTGTGTATGCAAATTTATTTGTAAGGAATGGGATATATATATATTTATTTTTTAAATAAAAGTTTCTCTCCCCCTCCTTCCTCCCCCTTGCATAGATGGATGTCCAGACGACACTCCAGGATTCAGCTGCTGTGTGGCACAATATACTGTGCACCTTGCAATTTTAAGTACCTTTTTGTGCTTGGGTGTTTTAATGTTTAAAAGAATATGATTTCCTCTTGGTTTGGTTTCTTCTATATCCCTCTCCATATTGTGCAGCCAGAGAACATAGTGTGAAATAATTTCTGCTTGAGACTATGGGGCAAATATTGCATGAGTTTTTAAATGCTGTTCTAGCCACGTGTGTATGTGTGTTGTTGCAAAATCATTAGTGTTCACATGAGGAATGCGTAGTTTGTGGTTATTTTCTGTTAATGCTGATGCTTCCTGCACTGACCTCAGTTATCAGTCATTGGTTTTATATTCTCCGATCTGAAATGGTGATCTATAAATCGAACCAAGATGAAGTTAAAGGATCTGAGCAGCAGTTTTGATCCTAATGAATCACTGCCACTCTGAATAGAAAATAATGAAGGGCATTTGAATTCACATGTTCTGTCCCTTCACCACCACAAACCTCCCTTAGCAGAGTTTTACACTTTGCCTTAACAACCACCATTTCTTGTCTTTTTTTGCATTTTGTTACCTACCACTAAATTTTAATGTGTTGCTTAAAAGGCAGAAATAATGGCTAAGATTCAATGTGTGCTACCTTTATTACCACAAGAAACTAGTGTTTTGAATAGGATTTTTTTTTTTTTTTAAGCTTTTCCCTATTTAAATATTTTAGATTGCGTTTCTCATCGATGCTTTTGTTGCCGACTTCACATACACGGTTGAAGTTTAAGGACCAAGTGCAAGAGATATGTTGCTTTTGTCAAATGCAACTTTTAATGCTACACACTTATACAGGCAAATTGCTGACAAATACTGGTTTTAGTTTTATTCGCTGAGTGTGATCAGAACTGGTTGTGTGCGACTGTTGGATCCTTGTCTCTTCCCCTTCATTGTATAGATGACTCAGAAGCCATATATTCCATTTAACCAAGAGTAGTGTTGTGATTGGATATTACCATTTCAGAATTGCACAGTTTGAGAGACCTAGTCAGCCAGAATTGTGTCAATTGTTGTACTTTCCTTCTACATGGAACAACAACATCTCTGTACAACTTGCACAATATAAATTAAAGGTATTAAAATTTGTCTGGTCTTGTTACTCAACTACAGCTACTCAAGTGGTTTAGAAATGGTAAGCTACAATAGAAAGCAATCCTAAAGTGAAAATGCTTGGTCTTGCAATTTAATGGAAACTTATTTAAGTATTTTATTATTGTCATATCCAAGTTTTATTCTTTGGGGTTTGTAAATGAAATTAACAGCATTATAGCTTAATTGGTTACACTCAAATACATTGAGATTCTTTTGGACGGTAAGGTTCATTGAACAAAAAACAAATTTTGATATTTAAATGTCAACTTTTATAATCAATTTTGGCAGCAACTTCCCATTATAACAAAAAATAATCAGTTTCTTTCTAAACCAGCTCACTCACTGAAACAAAGTACCTGTTCTTAAGGCATTTACTCTTTACAGAATTCCAAGCTGTCCCCACCAGGGGGCAGCATTTCACTGTTAGGTGTGGAGGTTGATTTTTTTTTTTTTTTTTTCATCATGATTTGAGTTTTCCTGTTATAAAATAAAATGAAGGTATTTTCTTAAGAACTTAGGTTGAATGAAAATTGACTGACCCCTAGTTCAGCTTGACTTATTCCCTTCAACACAGACTTTAATGTCAGCATGTTGTTCAGGTTATAACCTATTACTTTGCAGAAATGTACAAAGTCAGTTTGAATGTGCTTAAATTACCAACAAATTGAAACTTACAAAAAGGGGAACTCAGATATGGCAGATACATGAAGCAGATTGTCCACATGGTTGACCTCAAATTCCTGTTCCCAGCTTCTTCTTTTTTTTTTTTTTTTTTTTAAAGGGTAGTCAAACACACTGGGTCTCCTACCTGCTGCATTTGTAACAAAACAGTAGTGCACAGACAGACACACACAATTGTCATGAGTGTCTGTGTTTAATCATTTGTCATGGGCTGTGTGCCAATTAAGAGACCGCACGCTTGAAGTACGCATACTACGTACGAGAAGTGCGGAAGTGAGAGGCTTGTGAAATGGGACGGTCTAGCCTTCGTCGCGTTACTCGGGTTGCCTAGGAACCATGATGCTAACCGCGAGAAACGTTTCATACAGCTTTGTGTGACACAAATGAAGGAGAAAAAAATGTTTGACCAAAAAAACATTTTTGTCATGACATCACTTTGAATAGTTGAGTATTAGTTGAGCCAATATTATATTTACTGTCAGATTATGATAGATATAGAGATGTATAGATATATCTAGATGTGTGTGGATGGATAGATAGCAGTGAGCTTGAACTCTGGGTCAAAGATTCAAGTTGCAGTTATTTATATTGCCTATTTATATTGCCTATCACCTTAAATCTTCACTCAAAGACAAATATCTTTGACAGTGTATATATAGATGCATTATACACAAAAATTGTTCATTTAATATGTTGGCATTACATTATATTTGGCTTAATGCTTACATATGTGTAAAAATAAAATGTATGAGCTGTGAAAACTGTTTCTGATAAAATGAAGAGTAGACTGATATGAAATATTCCTTTATTGGGTGAGAAAATCAGACCATGTCATAACTGCTTTAAGTCATACAGAATAGATATCAGAGCCTTAAACAGGCTGACTTATGCTAAATGGGCCAAACTGAGCAGAAAGTATACAAACACATAACATCCTTATAGAATATGATGTAACACTATAGATCAACTTACCTCAGAATATATAAAGCATATCAACAATTACAGCAATATGATGCAACAAACACAGCAGTGCTACTGATCCAAAATACTCAAAGCTTCATAGAACTGAAACAAACATTTATTTTTAGCTCCATTCTGCTGCTGATACATACTTTAGGTTTCTGAACATTAAACTTGTTGCTGCCTTTCATAGTGTGTAACTTGAAGGCTCTGAGTACTTTCTCCCACACTGAAAACACTGGGATAATAAAATGATTTAAACATTACCTAATAAGACTGATTCAGGACAGACAATGAGTTATTTTAAACTTTCCTAGCAGTCCTTCACAAATAGGGAACAGTCTGTCTATTCTCTCCATCTGTCAGCTACTGCTGGCTCTTCCTCCTCCTATTCCTCACACACTGCTGAGTTTGTCCTGGTGGATCATCAGGCGTGCAAAGCCTCACAGATGATGTGCAGCAGTGGGTCCCTCAGTCGGTCCTCACTCTGGACACTTGCACTTGGAAATCAAATGTGTGATAAGCTGCAGGATTCAAACATAAGTTTAACTTATAAATACATGTTCATACTTTTATTCCACAATCAGAAAGAAAGAAACAGAGAGAGTGCAGGACAGACAGACAGGTGACAGTCTCAGGTGTACACACTGCTACAAAACAGCACAAGAGAAGGAGGATTTAGTGTCTGTGTTATTACGAGTGCTAAACAAGAGTTCCCAGATTGTACAGTGGACACATGTGTGACTCCTGTGATTAAAGCATTTTTCTTTCTTTCAGCTTAACGAGTGAACCGTCAGCTCGTTCAAACACACGTTAAAGTCCGTTTGGCTCGACACCACCGAACAGAGACCGCGGTAAAGTGAGCCGTCATTTGTGAGCCGCGGTCAAGCCAGCCGCCTCTTATCCGCCACATAAATTTCCTTGCACTTTTACACCAGTCTTTACGGTAGCGCCTTTTCGCTTTATGTGCCGATTGAAAGCCTATACCCGCGCACACGTGCGGGTATAATTGACATAATTCTATTGTATTGGCTGATTGCGTTGAATATAAGTTTCCTTTAATTTCTGAGGAATTCTACAGTAAATCTGGATGAAACTTGGCACACAGGTACAGTAGGTGTCCCAGAGGAGGGATGTGTTGAAAGTTGGACATCAACTACTCAGGATGACTTTTAATTAATTTTTGAAATAAACATAATTGTAGTGTTTTGACTGTATTGCACTGAATATGAGTTTACTGTGATTTCTGAGTAATATTACAGTAAATCTGGGTAAAACCTGCCCCAGAGGTAAAGTAGGTGTCCGAGAAGAGGATTGTGTTGAAAGCTTGGCATCAACTTTTAAGAATGATTTTTAATGAATTTTTGAATATGCAACCAGACTGTCACGATGGCTGTATTGGGCTGTTCCATTGTAATTTGTGCGCGCGCGCGCGTGTGCGCGAGTCTAGGCTTTCAATCAGGATATAAAGCGAAAAGGCGCTACCGTAAAGACTGGTGTAAAAGCGCAAGGAAATTTATGCGGCGGATAGGAGGCGGCTGGCTTGACCGCGGCTCACAAATGACGGCTCACTTTACCGCGGTGAACAGAGGCAGCAATATAACATAGCTGACATTAACAGTGCAGTGAATCCTGCTTGTGCTGTGATATTCAGGACTGCAAACCGAGCAGCATCACTGACTTTCAGCTTGTTGTGTTTGTGGATATATGACTGACTTTAATTATCCATAGAATCATCACATTCTCTGTAAGATTAAGGCCGACTATTGAACGGCGTATATTTCAAAGTAAAGGCTTTAAAACCAAGTTAACGCTGAAAGTACAAACATCACTAATGTCACATAACTTTGCCGACATGTGGCCAACAGTAATGTTTTTCACTATTAAACATTCGCACATAAATAAGTGACATGATATTGAGTACTTACTTTTGACAGTTCACTCTTCGGCCGCTCCCTTCTGCCTTTTTTTTTGCGGTAAAATTATCCACACCCACCGCCGCGCTATGAGTTGAGGGACATATGGGACCACGAAGCGTGCACCGGACCACGCTTGATATTTGGAGGAATCGACGGCGCATTTGGAGTACACTTTGGATTGGGACAGCCGCTGTCACGTCGCTGTGATGTAATAGGTCTCAAAATGCGTACTTCGAGCGTGCGGTCTCTTAAGTGGGACACTAGGATTTAGTACAAAAAAGATAAGCTAGTAGCAAATATGATGGTTTTTTTTCTCTAAATCTTCGCACTGTTCGTGGGTGCCTTGGCCCTAGATTGTGCCTTTATCCACAAGGTGGAGTCATTTCACCATTAAAAACCCCACAACTTGGGAAGGCTGCCAGAAACCAAAGCAACAGGCAGACGCTGCTGCCAGACTCCGAGAAAGTCTAGATAGAATTGAACTGATACTGGGTCAACTGAGCATGGCAGCATGGGATACTCGCTGATGATTCCTTTTGATGTAAAACTGCTCAGGCCATCGCTGCATATTAAAAGTTTTTAAATCATCATAGTTTTCCATTCACACAAGTTTGAGTTATTCTAAAAATGTATTTGTGCGTTATTTAATTAGTTAGTAAGAATTCACTTTTAAAATCGCATTCACTGACTTTTTGTGTCCAGGTCTGACAAAACTGTTTTCTTCTGTGCGCACATTTTCTTCAGTAGGCTGAAAGCTACCCGTAGGTGGTTGAAGCCCCAGGGTAAAGCTGTTATCTCTCTCCCTCTCTCTACCACACACAAACACAATAACAACAGCCAGGTTGCAGCCATAGCAACGCCACCGGTACGCCGTTAAGTGATGTGAATGGAAAGCAGACGGAGGCTTTGAAGTCCACACTCCTTCCTCTGCCGCCGCCCAGTCTCGCCCGGTTTAAGGTACGGAAGTGTCTGTTTGCCTGTAATGGACGAGGCGGAGGACAGCGAGGAGGAGCCCAAATTCCAGAAGGCTCGACCCCTTCAAGTAGCCAGCTCGGCTGGATGCGAGGATCATGGGAGTAGCAGGGGGACCAATATGAAGAAATTCTCGCCAGGAGGCGGAGCCGTCTCTCCTGTGCGAAAAAACTCCAACAACAATGAGCTCTTCCTCTTGCGAGGCGAGGACTCCACACCTTTCACTCCCAGCGGCAGCTGTGCATTTGCTCTGTTGTGCCAGAGGGATGCTGCTGGCGGCACAGAGTCAGACCACAGGAGTGCAGGGGACACAGTGTCTGAGGCGGGCGTGATAGGAGAGGGGGGCATCGGTATGATATGCAACAAAAACGGAGACTGTAGAAGAGACCCGGCCAGTTCAGGCAGTCTTTCTTCTCTCATCTCAAGACAGGAGAAGCAGGCAGATGGAGTAGTAGCAGCTGAAGACGATAAGGAGCTGGCTGCGAGCATGGACGGCTCTGTCACTTCAGCAGGGTCCCTGACACAGGGGCCTGGGGCCGAGGTCAAGACGACGGCAGCAACGGAGAAAAAGGACTCCAGAGTTTCCTTCTCCAACCCCCCGAGTAGTAAAGGACTGGCTCAGCAGCCAAGAAGTTCTGTCACGTTCAGCAAAGCAGAGGACGGCTCTCAGATAGTGCCAGATGATGGAGAGTCCAAGGGGAATCAGACATACATGCAGCGGCAGTTTAGTGCCATGCTTCAGCCTGGAGTTAATAAATTCTCCCTGCGCATGTTTGGCAGCCAGAAGGCAGTGGAGAAAGAACAAGAACGCGTAAAGTCAGCGGGTAATTGGATTATCCACCCATACAGCGACTTCAGGTATGGGTCAAATTGTGTTAGGTCAGTTAAAGTGTTGCTGTAAAGAAGCTAAAGGGGTGTTTTTGAATGTTGCCCAGCGCCCATTCTTTACGTCAAACAACATTATATGTGAAGATTGTGGGAATATGAACATAAGTATGCTATTTTTAAACATTCAATGGTTATCTGGGGGAAAAAGTTGAACCTTACCCTATCATAAACAGAGCTATTTCTCTATTCCTGAAGCACCGAATGATGAGATATGGGAGATTTTGTGTTTACACAAAAGCTCCATATTCCAGAGGTGTCACAAAGTTGACTCTAAATGTGTCTTAAAGTGTGCTTGGTTTCAGCACCAAGGACAGCTCCTCTAATAAAATGTGGGGAAACCAGGTTTCTTGTCTTTCTTATTTGAGTACCATCAACTATGTAAAGCCTGCTGTTTATTAACAATACATGGCTTGATTGTGTTAACTTACGGACAAAGCTCAACAGCAGGATGCGCATAACAAGAGAGTTCAAGTCATGACTCAGCAGCCGCTTCCATTAGTTCCTCTAATATAAGTAGCCACAGTGTCTTCCTCTTATCCTGCAACACTAACAAACATCGTTCATAATTAATCTGCCAGTTAATAATAGGTAAGTTGAGTAAAGTTAGATAAAAATACTTACACAATTTTCTTACTTTAATAAACAGAGGAATATTCCTAGATGCCTCGCATGGTCAGTTCACCAGCTGAATTATCTTTAAAACACAGGTTCTCATAATTCAGCACCTAATGCTGTGGCGTGACTGGCTATTGTGTGAATGTTTGTTCAAACCAATAAATATCACATTAACTAACTACTGGAAATAGGTGATGGTGCACAACACCACAGCCGTGAAGGCTGCTTTATTGATTTGGGCTCCGGTTGTTGTTTGTACTTGACTTGTTTGGAGGGTATTCTGCTGTTTTTGCTTTAGTTGTCTTTTCTTTGCATGGTTGTGGTTAATGGGGTAAAGTGAAGGAACTATCAGGCATTTCATAAAATTTGAAAGATTTATCAGTTTGGATTGGGTTAGTTTTCTGAGTGTGTTCAGCCTGTGAGAGTGCATTGCTTCATGACACAGAGAGGGCCGGAAATATGCTTACCCCGTATCATAAATCAAGCAGAATCAGCTTCTTTCCTGATATGTGATATCCATAACATGTAGCAACACTGTCAATGTCTGGACATCAGATTTTAGACATGGTTTCTCTTCTCATATGCATAGCATCAGATTTTTCTCCTTTATTACTTTATTATTACATCTTTTTCTCTATCAGATTTCAGAGTTGTACACATGGCCCTATACTGCCCTTTGTTTGCGTGTGTTGGGATTAAACAAGCGCCTTTAATCATCTTCTACTCTTTCGTCCTGACAGGTTCTACTGGGACTTCACCATGTTAATGTTCATGGTTGGCAACCTGATCATCATCCCTGTAGGCATCACCTTCTTTAAAGATGAGACCACCACACCCTGGATCATCTTCAATGTGGTCTCTGACACCTTCTTCCTCATGGACCTAGTACTCAACTTTAGGACTGGTATCGTGTTCGAGGACAACACCGAGATCATCCTCGACCCCAAGAAGATCAAGAAGAAGTACCTGAAGAGCTGGTTTGTGGTGGACTTCGTCTCCTCCATACCTGTGGATTATATCTTCCTCATCGTGGAGAAGGGGATTGACTCAGAGGTGTACAAAACTGCCCGGGCACTCCGCATTGTCCGCTTCACGAAGATCCTCAGTCTGCTGCGTCTGCTGAGGCTGTCTAGACTCATCCGTTACATCCATCAGTGGGAGGAGGTATGCTGAGTTACAGCATTTCTATACGAACAGGAAAGTTTTGTTCAGTATTGAAGTTTAGCTTGGATAAATACTGGATAAAGTAAGTATATGGGACCAGATGGGGTTCTAATGCACAGTTTATGTATCACTTTTATATAAACAGATAATACTGAAAGGAAACACATAACTTCCACACTGAACATCTCTATTTTAGATTTTTACTCCGTGGTTCTCAAACTTTGTAAGGCTAGGGGTCGCTCACAGGGAATCCACTTTTACAAGGACTATCTCATGATCCTGAAATAGATCAAGCATATGCTGACTACCATTTGGTCCTACCTTCTTTCTAAAACTGTTCAAATAAACCCTTAATCAATACTAAATACTTGATGCATGTGATGTGTCACATCCTGGGTTTCTACATAATGTAGGTCAGTCTGTTTTTCCATATCATTTTCTCATCATATGCATCCCCTGTGGTATAAGGTCTTTTTTTTGTTACTGAAATCTTACAGAGGAAGACTTTTTTCCCAAAAGCATCAAAAGAAAATATTAAGTTTTTAACTTCTTCATACAATTATGTATGTTTTTTAATGAACTACTACTACTGCATAGCTTTAATGTCTAAAAAAAAACTCATTAGCATCACGTTTGCTACACCTGACAGACACTACAGCTGCATTGATTATTGCTGTAATGCAGAAGTTAGTCAATTATGATCAGATGATCTGCTTACTATTACCCCTCCACTTTCAAATGTGCTCATTAATAATGAGAAACTAATCTAACTGGGCTCTAATTAAGAATTGTGCAGCAGTTTCCAGTGCAGTGGCTTGTTCTGTCAGTATAAGTCATTCTAGTATCACAGGAGAAGGCACAAAAAATTAGGTGTACAGTCTTCTACTGCAGCAAGCCAAGATGAGTGGATTATAGGTCATCTTACTTGATCATCACATTGTTGATGCATTTAAAACTGTACGAAAGAAAAAAACTTTCCACATAGCAAAAAATGTTTTGTTGCAGCATTTCAACCAATTAAGGCATCAAACAGCTGCAACCACATGCTGAAAGACTTGCTAATGCAAACCCCCTTGCATCTCTAATTGCATCAGGAAATAATGTTCTAGAGAAAAGTGCATTATCATCCATCATATGGCCCCATTTTGCATAAACACAGCATTCCACAGCTTGGACTGTGTGTGTGCTTCTTTGTGCTTCCTTATTTGGCCTAAACAAGCATCTTCCAATCAAATGAGTGTCCCCTCACTCTGAAAATAACCACTGCTCTTCTGATTACACAGTGGTAATTTGGGTTTAACGAAAACCCTAATTACTCATTCAAACACAGACGCGTACACACACACACACACAGACACACACACACGCGAGTGCTCCTTTGCTTCAACTCGGCCCTGCCCTGATCCTCTTAGTTCAGCTGAGCTCTGCTCTGCTCTGCCTGATCCAAACGGGGGGAACTGTTTGCCTCTTCTGCCCAGCTCAGCTCAGCTCAGCTTAAGTCCGCTCGCTGCAGCACTGTTTCCTAAAAGCTTGTCTTAGTATTGTGATGATTTCACCATATAGATCTATTGAAGGCCAGTACAGAGGTGAGGTGAGCACTGGGTAACAGTCGTGCTAAAAAACCATTTATTTGGAATGATCTCAGAATAAATCGCTTATGCATCTATGTTGGTGATACAGAAGCAGAGAAAAACAATTTGCTGAAGCAGGAAGCTTGCGTTGATGCCTTTTTCATGAGCTCGACAATGATGGGGAATGGACAAGAGCAAATGCACAAGCATCAGGGATGGAAGGATAAAAAGGCTCATATCCATCATACGCACTAGTTTTACTCTAAAAGCATTTTAGCAGTCTGACAGAAAGAAGCAGCAAATAGTTTATCTGTGTTTTTCAGGCTGTGACTTGTAGTCACAGTACTATGCTTTGACCCAGATTGTGGTGTGACAGTGACACATGGCCAGGTGCTGTTCTGGTGTTGGGGGGAACATTAGTCCTAGCTCATTAATCATAATGGGAACGCTTTCTAATCACAGGGCAGGGCCTCACAGCATGTTTCCCTTTCTGCATCTTCTAAATGACCCAAGGCCATTAGCCAATACAGGATATACACAAAATGTGCAAAGAAAGTAGTTTCTTTTGTTGATTTTGATTTAATTACACATGGACCCAAAGCAGGCCTGGGGAAGGGATCAAAACTAAATTACTGTAAAGAGAAAAAATGAATATGTATCAAAAGAGTGAAACAACCAGGTGCTGATGACATTTTAGAACTGGATAAGGAAAATGTGATGTGCAGCATACAGCTGAAATGCTACATATTTCTGAGGAAATTGTTTTGCACATTTTATAAATTACATTTAGGAGGAATTTAAATAAACTTTGATACAATTGCCATTATCCATCCAAACACAAATCATATGAAAAGTCCAAGAGCTATTTAAACTAGGATCATGCACATTAACAACTGGGGTATAACATGTGTCAGTTTTCCATATTCATGTGACTTGTATGTTTAGGACAGCAGGGTCTCTGAGGTGTAGAGATGTGTGACAGCATGCCCTGACCCTGCTGCTCCCAAACTGTAAATTCTAAACAGAAGCGGCTCCTTCATGTCATCACACGCACACACACATACACACACAAACACACACACACAAAGGCCTAGTTCATATTTAAGATGAATTTCTCAAGATCTAATCCCCACATACTTGTAAACCTACCCATACACAAACACACACAAAAACACACACGAACCACGATAATTCGGCCTGGGAGATAGCCAGCCAAGCCATAGTGAGTGGTGTTTACAAGGCTGTGACCACATCACCAGCTCCACGCAAATTAGCCTTCTTACCTGGGGTGAGCAATCTTAAGAAACAGCAGCGAGAGCCTGGCCTGGGCTGCTGATCAAAGCTTCATCAGCATCTAATGAGGTTTTATCATGAATGCACATTGCATGCCCTGTGGTCTCACACCTGGTTATAATGGAGAACCTCAGCCTGGAAATGTGAAGCACGTTTTTTGCTGTTTATAAGTTACTAAAAAACTGGTCAAAGTTATACCATCTGTTATCATAGTTCATTAAATTGTTCAAATTTTATATAACAATAAATTTAGTTGTTAACAGACAAGTTACCTATAAATAAACTGAGATATCAAATCCTAAAGTTCCTCACAGGTCGTCATGTTACCTAAAGCTGCCCTAACAGATATTTGTATATTCGCAAGAGATGAATAACAACCTCTGGTGTGAAAGGTTCCTGTATAAGTGTGAAACTCACAAAAAAAACTTTCTCCAAACTTCCTTTCAGTTTGCAAGAACATGGGCAGCTTAACTAGACTTTGGGCTGCGTGCCATGGAGGGAGAGAGTGAGAGAGATGTTTAATAACAGAGATGTTTCATTGTCAACCAACTTATCAACAGAAAATTTATAAATATAATGTTAATAATATTAATAACAATACAAATATCTGGCGAACGATTCCCTGCCAGACAGATATATTGAGTGATAGATAGCATGTGGTATGAAAGATTGCCTGTATGCTTCCTTGTGGCAGCAGAGCTCAATCAGTTTGTTAGAGAAGTTGCTTTGCTACCTGCCCAGTAAGTGTTGCTCATAGTGGGCAGGATTGTCTGTGATGGAGAGCAGTTTGGTCAGTCACCTCTTCTCCATCACAGCTTCAGAAGTGCTATATTTTACTATAATAATTCACTCCCACTGCTCTCACATTACTGTGTTCAGGTAAACCTCTGAGGTTAGCACATAACTAGCATTTAAAACAGGGCTAAATGTGAATATTAATTTGCCAGCGTCAACAAAAAAACTACATATGAAAACTATGTTTTCCTCATTTCTGGAAATTTTACAGCTTGTTAAACTGTACCACGTGCCCAAAATGAATCTGCTAAATTTGCAAGAGTATGATTTATTTTCTTAAAAATATATTATATAATAATTGTCCTACAGAGTGGATCAGGATTTGCAACTGTGCAAATTGTGCACAAGTTAAAGCTATTTTATACAGTCCCCACAGCATCACTGTTGCCAGTGCTATCAGCAGAATGATAACATGCTGGATGTGCTGTTTGTGAGAGCCAATAGAGTAGTGTTTACCATTGTTTTCAACTCTCGCTCAATCGCTATAAACACCAACTTTTCATTCTGCTCACACATCAGTTCTGGCTTCATTCTGGCCTCCTCTCCAAATCTGTAACCCTCACGTCCCATCTCTCCTCCTCCTGACAGATCTTCCACATGACCTATGACCTAGCCAGTGCCGTGGTGCGAATATTCAACCTGATTGGTATGATGCTACTGCTGTGCCACTGGGATGGCTGTCTCCAGTTTCTTGTTCCCATGCTGCAGGACTTTCCATCTGACTGCTGGGTCTCCCTCAACAAGATGGTGGTAAGAAAAAAAATGCTTTTTGTGTATGTTTTTGTGTTCAGTGCGATCATAAGTTAGACAATCACAGGAAAAGTGTTCACTGCACAACTAGCGTGGTGACACAGCTTATTTATTCAGACTGGAGTTGGGAGCTTTTGTTCAGCTTCAATTAACCCCCCACTAGTCAAACCCAGGAGACACGCCAGTGTACGGCAAGTAGGAGGTGGATGAAAGAAAACATGCTGCTGTCACTCAGTTCATATAGCAGCTCATGCAGTAATTTAGGTGTGCTCTTCTTTCTTTGTCCTGTCAAATGTCCTGTCCTCCTTCTGGGTGGCAGGTGGCTTCTAGCTGTCTGTTGGAAGACAGACCATTAGGAGAGGTTTTCACCAAAATTACTGCTGGCATGCATGAGAAAAAATAAATTAATAAAATGAATGCATACATAAATGTAAAAAGAAATTGATAGCTAGTATTGAAACACACTATCTCCTAATCCAACTGGATAATTAATGAAAAGTAATTATTAAAGTTTTGTTCATTTTGGAAAGCACTTATTGTCTAAGCTATAAAACAAAACCTTATAACATTGACTAAAGAACAGCCTCTGTTTGTCTCTATTTTATTTAAATTGCACGATTAATCACAAGTGTGGACAAATAAAGAGGAGAAACACCCAAAAACTACTGTTTGGGTTTTTATCATTTTGAACTTAATCCCTTTATCCAGTCTCACATGTCATTCTGCTTCGGAGATAACAGATTGGAAGGTGGTGAGTGGCAGTGGCCGGAGGCACAGACAAGTCAGAGGATACAAATACCTTTTATCATAAAACTGTATTTCACACACATATATTCACTTTCACACATACAGTATGTTTGTTGGCAAACAGAAGAAGAATTATGGTGGTTTCAAGGAAGCATTAGTGTCAGTGTCAATCCTGTTTGTCCCACAAAAAAAGAGAGAAACATTAGAATTGGTTTAAATATTTTGTATGAAGTACTCAAGGGATATTTTGGATACGGCAGCTGAGATGATAAGCTTAATGAATGGCTGTGACTCTGCGATTTGTACAGTGTGCGTGCAATGTTGTTAACAGAGAGGTGACGATTGGTTTGTGAGCAGCTGTAAGTAAACTGGTGAAGCAGATTGCATGCAAGCGCAGGAGGAAGAGATCTGCTCTAATGGGTGTAAATAGATTGAGTTATAGAGGACAGTTTGCATTGCAGGGGCTCACTACAGGAAGAAAACAGAAAAAATAGTCTTAATCTAATGTGTTAATTGACAGCAATATCAACAGTCCTAGAAACCATCGAATTATCTGACAGAGCTAAAAGACGTCATTGGTTGGCTGCCGGATGCTTATATCTCCACATAACTGTAACTGTCTTGAAACCATTTTTTATGGGGAACATTACATCTTTTGCTCCTTCTCCTAAGGAAGTTCAGCATACCGGATAATTCCTTCTTTATGCTTTTGTCAGGCACTGGCTGACTCTGCTGCAGCTGAGAAATGCTTGATATGCTGGGAGAAAACCTTCTAATTTTGGCACAGAGATTTTTGGCATTCAGTTCCCTGAAATACACTGTGTACTATGGTGCTATGGTGTTTACATGAATAGGTGTGTTCTGTTATGAGTGTGTGTGATCTCTAGGAACAGATGGATCTCACACCAATTGACCCTAGGGGAGATTGCTGTTACTTCTCTGTCACTCCATCCCTTTCTTTCTAGTTTCATCTCTGGCCATCCTATTTCCTCTATCTCTCTTTCTTGAATGTATGAATTTGTATGTATGGAAAATGGCTTTATAAGTTGCTTTTTCAGTGACTCTTTTATCCTTCATGCCCCACTTCTTCTTTCGCTGATATCTCCTTCCTTATACATTCAGTTTTCCAGAGTGACGTGTGTTGTTTAGGGCTTGTGCCTTTTTCCAAGCTCGCTGCCATAATGCCAGCGAGCACACATGTGGGTGTGGCTGCCTGGTGTGCCCTGTCACTGCCATTTCAGGGTAATCAAGGTCACATCTTCTTCAGAGCTGCTTTGAGTGAGAGATCCAGCGTTAAATGATCCTCGTGCCTCCTCGGGCTGACAGGCTGCCTGCCTGCACTGGACATTTATTGGACTCCACCCTGTTTTGCTCTCTGCATCATGCATGCACTTAGGGTTATGGAAATAGGGCAAGAAAGCCATTCCTGAGAAAAACATGGAACTCGTTTCTTCAGTAGCAATTCTTATGTGCATTTTTATGCATGTCCCTTTATATAGATGTGTTGTGTTTGACTGAGATTTGTGTGCATGTGATATATAGTACAGTATAACTAAGTGATAGTCAAAATATCCTCCTTCAGACTGTTTTTTTTCTGCAGTGTATTCATCTCTGCCTCTTAACACTTAATAAGGGAAAAGATACTCCTGCAGCAGACAGTGGTGTTTATTGTAAGTCGACAATCAGGCTCCTGCTGCAGAGTGATCAAGAGACCGGATGATCGTGGTCTGTTATGTAAGTGACTCTCTGTTATGTGAAAGATGACAGGTGGTTTTGTCCCATCTCCCTCGGCCTGATTGGCTGTTATATCAATGGCATTAGAATAAAGACGCTCTTTTCCTCTCGACTTCTTTCTCTGCATCAAAAATGAACTGCGTTTCTTTATAACTGGAGAAGCAGAAGAGCTGCTGTAACTGCAACAGAACACCAATTTGTGAGAACCTATTTATGCATTTGCACTGTATTGAGGCACACAGAGATGCACTTCAAGAAACATTCATGCTTTGGAAGTTGATAACGAGGCCCTCCATTCATTCTGAAGTGACCGAACCGGCAAACAGGCCTGTCAGTGCATATAAAAATAATGGACAGTTACTGTGTGAGGTCTGTGTGTGGAAATGTTGCATATGTGTGTGAATAATAACTGCTGTGTATGACCTGACAGCCACTCTCAGTGCTAATTTGGTACAGATTTTTAAGAAAAGTTAAAGTGGGTGGTGCTATTTACAGCAGGCAATACAACAGAGAGACTTTAAGAAACCAATTGACAAAGTTTAGCTAATTAAATGCATTTTTAAGTCAGAGTGACTGTTGCAGCCCACAGACATGTATTTTTGTTGAAGAGGATTAAAAATTCTTGCAAGGTCAAGTCATGTTGTAGCTAGCTAAAAAAATAGAAAAGGAAAAAACAGCCTCACGGGCTGGTTGGAGCTGCAGTCTTTGTGGGCCAAGTTGCCCCGGTGAAACCAACCCCATTTTATGAAGAAAAGTTGTCTTGTCATTTTTAGCCGTGTAGTAAAAAGCAGTGAATGCTCTTTGCTGCTTTACTTTATAATGAAGGCAAACTTCAAAATAAATACATAAATACAAACCTCAGTGTAACCTGAAGTGTATCCCATAGTTGGTTAGAAATCTAAATGTGGGAGGAAAAGCTTTTGAAATATGCTTAGGATGAGCAATTGTTGGAATACTTATGTTTTTCTGAAACCTATCTGCAAAAAGAGAGATGAATATAAGAAAATTGCACACCAAAATGAGACTGATTGCTCCTTTAATTCAGCTCAGTTTTTAAGATCAGTATAAATAAGTAGAATATGCCTTCTATAGCATCATATTGTACAATGCATGTCAGAGACTGAGAGCTGAGTTAACTAAGAAATCTCATAGGTTTAAGAATGTAGTTCCCTTTGTGGGGTGGGGAAGACAACTGTGGCCCAACCCATTTGTTAGAGTGACTAACCACATTGTCGTCCACAGACTTGTGTTGCTACCATGGCTAAAAAACAAAACAGCAAAGCAAATGTCTCTTAAAAATGTCTCGAAGCCCTGCAGAATTATTCTTCCTCTCCTTTTTATTGTCAGTGTTTAAACAAACGAACTTGAAACGTGTACTTGGTCGAGAACAGAATAGATGCTTTTGGGCTTGACTCATATGGCCACAGCTTGCATCATTAACTAGACAGAATCTCTGGATGCACATGGCTGCACACAAACAGCAGTTGTGAATACTACAGCTGCGTCTCACTTTAGAGACCGGATCCTCCAAATGATACAGCCCACGCAGGTGGGGTTTGTTAGAGGACCCGATGGTCTGACTGAACCCTTATTTTTTTTCAGCAAAGACTCCGTGCGAACTTAAAGTTCTATCAATCACTGTAGTCCACCTGTAATTTGTAACCTCAGAAAACTTAGACTTGCATGGCTAGTTTTTCAGTTTTGCTGAATGCGAATAGATGGCAGCTATGATCTTCTCCCGATCCAATACAATGCAACATTATATCATTTATAGATATATAATACTATATATAATATATATATGATTATATATACAAACATTAATTATATATATTAGATTAAATATTGCTTGCATAGCCAGCAAGTAAGTGGATCATTTTTATCTGTGTGGAGGGTTTTTCATTGTGAATATGATTCTGAATCTCTCCCTCCACATATTTGTCAACGGAGAAATTCCACATAAAGGCTAATAAACCCAAAATCCAATAATAAGAGCTTATTGAGCAGGAAGCTTTGATCCACAGAGGCAAATTCTTCTTACAGATCATTTCAATTGGACATATAATTTACAGGCATTCATTTCACATTCAACAAAGTCAATTAAACAATACACAGGAGTATGACTTCAATAAACCAGACTGAAACATAAAATCTGAATTATTGACACATACAACACAAGCGTTCCTTTAATGGGCTATTCCTATAAATTGTAGCCGTACTAGTAGATGGCTAGTATGGCTTTGGGGGATGTCAGTCCCACCAGTTTGGTTTACACTGAAATATTTCAAGAATGTTCATATGGATTTTAAAAACATTAAAGATACTGAATCATATTTGCTGTGCTTGTCCATCAGCTTTTTACATTTTAACAAAACAAAATTGGTGACGCCAGTTCAATTTTGTGGAATAGCTGCATTTTTCTCCCGGAAACAAAACTTCAGGTTTTAATCTCTGAATATTAAAATAAAATCACAGCATGTAAGTGAAGCAAATAACAGAAAATAAAAAAATACTGCATTTGGTTCACCCTTAGGTGACTTGCCCCACACCTGATGCTGAATGAAAAGCTTGTAGTTTAATTAAGGAAAGAAATTAAATACAATTAGAAATTAAAACCTGTGATTTAGCGTTCATCTGATCTGGCGTCTTCCTCGTTAGTCCATCATTTATCTCTGACACGCTGAAGCTACAGTAGCTTTATGCATGAACACTCTAATCAAACACATTACGCTGTGCTGTTACAGTCAGCGTTCTTAATTAATACTGTTACGCAATTCAAGCAGACACCAAAACATCTTGCAACTTTCTGGACTCATTTGCATTTGAATAATAAATACAAACATGGACCCACTGCTTCTAAATAATGAATCTTTACATTGCTAACAAGCACTTTCATGGAACTTTACATATTAAAGTTCTAAATGCAGGCTCTTTGAAGCAAACCAAACTCCCTCTGTCACTTGCAGACTTTCAGAGAGAGGGACTGCAGTGTGTTTAAGAGATGTTCAGCGCTCATACAGCTGAATAGATGCTGTGAGCCAAACACCTCGTAAACCCAGCCGGGTGTGCCAGCATGCACGTACACCCACTATTCTATAATTACGCCATCGTGCATCATAGATGTCCCATACTCCCTTTGTGCTCTCCTCTAAATGTATTATGTACAATTAGCGATCATCGGCGTTGCTCAGTGAAGACTGATAGCGAATAAAATGAACACAAGCGCTAATTTAATTCGTCCCACCCATCTCACCCCCCACCCTCACATAGGGTGGTATCTCTGTAGAATTAGTTTATTGTGTTATTATGAAGGTTGTAATTTTCAATAGTAACAGACAGCTGTGCACTGTGTCAGTTTTAATCACTTGTTATCACAAACTTGAACACATGCTAACTGCTTGCAGCTGGTCAGTGTGTGTGTTGCTCTCGTCTCAGAGGGTTTTCTTGGTCATGCAGTCACATGCGAGCGAACAGTTCAACACTGAGGATGCCATGATTTTTCACTTTCTTTGTTCTCAAGACTGCAAAATAGCACGCATCACGAAATGCCACCTTTATCTCTAAAGCATCGTATGCCTCAGAATGAGTTTTGCTGTGTGTTTAGAGGACCCACGATGCTTCTCCTAATTTTCTGTTTTCACTGTTACCTAGGAGAATTGTCACGTGTCGGCATATGTACGAGTAAACCCTGTGAGCCAAAACCTCAGGCATACGTTTAACTTTCATAGATTTGTGATCAGGAGTTTACATCCACTCATGATGGGCATGAATGTCAGGGTAATGTTTGGGCTTTTAACAATTTCTTTGAAGTGTTCTTTTTCCAGGATGGAATAATTGAACAGCATTCATCTTTAATGACTAAAAAAAATGAATCTGGTGCACAAGTCAGACAGTTTTGGTAGCCATCAACAAGTTCTGGCATAAATCTAGCTGGATATTTGAGCACCCCTCTTGACTGAATTGACAGGGTTCATTCTTTGGTCGGTTTCCTGGCACTGATCCGGGTTTTAAGGATAATCCACAAGTTTTCATTAGGGTTGAGGTCGGGGCTTTGGAGAGATCATTCCAGAAGGTGGATGAGCCATTTTTAAACAACTGCAGATTTCAACATCATCAGTTTACACACAGCAAAACTGTGTATTTGTTTGTTTACCTCCCTCTGTTTTGTCTTTCAGGCGTTGTCTGTCGTTACAAATGCAGCAGTCGGAGACACTGCATGTCTGATTGCTTCATCCCCGACTTTTTTCCCCACCCCCATACTTCTTCTTCTTCTGTTCCTCCACTTTCTTCTCCTATCTTTAGCCAATGTGGCCTTCACTTGTGTTGTTTACATATACCATTCTAATGTCACAGCAAACTCAGGGTCAGTTGTAGTCTCGAGTGGCACCTGGTGCGGTCTTCTGCTGCATTAGCCTCTCTGCTTCAAGGTTTGACATGTTTTTATAATGAGTGGTAGTTTAAGTTACATTTACCTTCCTGTAATGTGGCCATTCTCCTCTGTCCTATGACATAAATAAGGGTTTTTGTTCAGCGACCCACTGCTCACTGTATAACTCATTTTTTTCAGATGATTCTGTATAAACCTTATTGTTGGTTATGATTGAAAATACCACTAAATCAGCGCTTTCTGAAATACTTCTGGTATTGCCTGTCTGGCACCAATAGCCATGCCACATGTAAATTCCATTTGATGACTTAACGCTAACCAACAATTATGCATATACATCCTACGTTTGTGCTTATGTCATGTACTTGTGTGACAATCAGATCAGAAACAGAAAGCTTACCTGCAACATGAGCCATGACGTCGCCCAAATCATTTCTGGGAACACGGCATGCGCTAATTTACACCTGGGCTTTCAGTAACAGCCACGTGGCCATAATGAAAGACAGTCAGGGTATTGCATCTTCCACCCATAGATGAGTTATACTCTCACCCCTTGTGCTTGTACCAAGATAGTAACATAAAAAACTACTGCCAGTGACTGTAAATTTATAGTAATGATGTCTTATAAATGTCACAATAGCATGCAGCAGTAGTAGATAAGCTATTTTATCATCAGGAGTTGTGGTATAGATCAAAAAGAAACAGGCTAGGGGCAATGTCATGATTTTATAGAATGTGCTCATGAACTGATGTAACCCAGGAGTATGAATGGATGACTTTGTAATTACTTATTGTATACAGTATCTTTTATACAAATAGTGTTTATTTATATGTTTTTATTAGTTTTTTGAGCACTTTGTATCATTAAAAAAATTGTAATATCATTCAATGTCAATATCAATATATTTATATTGCGGTGAAGCTCTGTCGGTTGAAATACAGTGTGTACTGTATATTAATGTACACATGTATTTGACTATAGGAGAATAAGCTGGAAACAGGCAGATACATGCAGCTGACTGAAAGAGGGTGTTTATTTCAACACCTTGGGGCTCCCTGCTCCTGCTGCTTATTCACCAGCAATGTGGCCCACATGCTGATGGCCACTCCACGTCTGTTCGCCACCTGTGGCAGTCAGGGAGACTTATGCTTAATTTATGCTAGCCTGGTTGTGTCCATTTGCAGAGGTATTTGCCTATGAAGCGCTTACAAGAGGGGTTTTCAGCAACTGCAACCGAGCTCCTGTGCAGTCCTCCAAAACCCCTTGAAACGGATGATGCTGTGTTGCAGTCAAATGCTGATTGGTTGAGAAGTGAGCAGAGGGAAGGGAGCAAAAGGAGAAACCATCAGGGATGAAATTAAAAAATCTGTATTTACAGCACAGACAGTCGCTGCAGTGGACACTTTTTATTGTTCCCAACACTTGATTTCACTTTGATGGACCAACAGAACAAAACATAGCAGACAAGTTGTAGCATATATATGTGACACTGGGGGCAGTCACTGCAGGAAGATGACCAGTCTGCTCACAGACTGTCAATGGACTGCCTACACACTACCTCCATAATTTGTCAATTAGTCTCAAACTCTGCACTTACATATATTCTCAGGGTTTGCAGATAATATTTGTTATCTTAATGTGCTTAATGATTAATGTTTACAAATTAAAGTAAAGGAAGTATTGTAGTTGGAAGGTGGTATTGTGTAGAAATAACAAAGCTGACATAGTGATGGTTCTTAGAACTGCTGCTTTTAGTATTTTGCATCAGATTATACAGCTCTGTTTATTTCCCTAAACAAAATCAGCAGGCCGAGTGACACAAGGGCACAAGAGTTTCTGGTAAACCCCATCCCTTGAGACCAAGTGCCTTTGAAATTTCATCTTCTTTATTTGCATTCCTCCAAATCACCTTTAAAATGCTAAATTATAAAGACCTGACAGCATTCCTTCTCCAGTACATCCTTTTTTACCTCTTCCAAAACTAGCAGAACTTGAATCTTAAATTTAATGCAAATGCCAGAGAAAAATATGTGTAGTCAATCAGTGGCTGACAGGTTGAGGAGCCGCAGAAGAAACACACATACACACACATACTGTGGTACATGTGTGTATGTGTGAGAATACAACCATTTGAGGGGAGGATGTGAGGTTCAGTAGTGCCTGTGGAGGGCTTTCTAATGAACCCTAAGGTAGAATGAGTGTGCCAGAACCAATCAAAGACACACTGGAGTAGGTAGATGTACGAGCTCCTCATTAACCAAACACTGTGTTTCCATCTTCTTCTGCGTAGCCAAGGTGAGAGGATGTTTTTCAACGATGATGATTGGGCTAAACCTGAAACAATCACCACACACGGAACCACAGACCACAGGAATGTCTTACTCTTTAGATGACTCATTCTTTAATTCACCCTCTCTTGCATCAGTCTAATGTGTATGAACAGTATATCTTCAGCAAAGAAGATAAGAAGAGAGTTTCAGGTGTCAAAGCCAAAGCATGAAACCAAAAATATGAAAGTGGAAGTTATTCTAGGATCTTGATTTCTCTTATTTCTTTCCAATCTCTTCAATATTTTTTTCTTTAACTTATATTTTGTTTACTAAACTGATTCTTACCCTCATATCTCTTTCTACAGAACGACACATGGAGCGAGCTGTACTCCTTTGCCCTCTTTAAAGCCATGAGCCACATGCTGTGCATTGGATATGGAAGACAAGCCCCAGAGAGCATGTCGGACATCTGGCTGACCATGCTCAGTATGATTGTAGGAGCCACCTGCTATGCCATGTTCATCGGCCATGCCACCGCACTCATCCAGTCACTTGACTCATCTAGACGTCAGTACCAAGAAAAGGTAGGGCTCTGACTCACCGTTGGTGTATCACCATTTAAAAAAGGAAAATCTGGAATTCAGGTGAAGCAGACATGTTTGGGACAGTTAGTTAAAGCTGGTATTAATATTAATATTTTAACAAAAGTATTATTTTCTTGTTTGTAATGCCTCTGTTTAATTACTGCACGAAAGGTGAGACACTAGATTTTTTACTCATGTGTGGATGGAGACGCAAAAGTGAGATAAAAATGCATATTGTAGTCCTAGGATAGACAAATGTTTCCCAGGGCGTTTGCCAAATCAGCTTGGTGATGATATATAATGAAGATTCTGACCCCCCTCAAAACAACTACTTTTTTGCGAGTTCACAAAATAATTGTTTTGCTTTTTATTTCCCTTGATATTCGATCTGAGGCATCGTATTTTCAGGACTTTAAAACATTTTATTTTATGTCTTTTAAAATCAATAATCCTCAAACCACACTATCTGCACTCATCTTTGGAACAGTTTCTCCCTTCTGAGGAAATAATCTGCCTGAGAACAGTGGACTGTGTTTTTGTGGATTATCCTGGATTACTGGGACCCCTTTTCTGGAAAGGATTGCTGATGATATTTTTTTTCTTAAATTCAATTTATCCCAGGTGTTAGCAACACAAGCAAAATTTAATTTAGTTCCACTTTACCAGTGTGGTAAATCTAACAGAATAACTGAGTTAGCAAGTTGTACTGCAAGCGATACTGTAATTTTTAGTATTTTGTTGAAATAAACAACAAAAAATAAGGGGGTTGAGTTTATCACAGTCTATCTTTAGCTCACTGGTGGCATAGATCAGGGGGTCCCTCTGTTCCTTTCTGATCTCATAAGGAGACTCCAAAAAGAAATAAAAATTCACAGTTTGTGCCTTACAACAACATGGATAAGGTTATCACATACTAATGAACAGAGATGGGTCGCTCATTTGGCTCCAACCTATTTTGATAGGAACAGCTTCTGCTCTATCAGTTCGATATTCATGGGTTCAGCTCACTGGGCTTCAGCCAGTCTGTCGTCTCTGTACAACAGCAGATCAAAGCTTTAGGTCTCTGCAGACCATGGAGGGGAGCTTGCTCCTGCTTTTTCTTAATTAATGGTGACAGTGTTATTGGTGCTCTGTGTCTTGTTAGTTTCCTTAGATACTGGGTGATGTGAAGATGTCTCATGCTATCTGATCTCATACGGATCCATACAGATATGATAAATATGGGGTGGCTGTAGCTCAGGTGGCAGAGCAGGTCAGCCACTAATCAGAAGGTCGGTGGTTCGATCCCAGGCTGCCTCCTGGCTGCATGCC